TGTGGTTGTATATATAATTATAAATGTGGTTTTGGGGGGTCTGTGGGGAGGAGGGTTTAGGGCTGGGCATGTTGGATTGTTTTTAACTAAACTGAAAAGCACTTTGTGTTAATTTTTTTGTATGAAAAGCGCTTTATAAGTAAAATTTGATTGATTGATAATTTGCATGTAAAACACTTTGGCACAATTGGCACAAAAATGGACCACTTGTGCCGAATGTGCCCATGAGTCACAAAAAAGCCCCCAGCAGCAAAATGGTTCAACCTAAAGGTCTGAAATTTCATTCAGTTGTTGCCAAGACCACAGACATCTGCTCTGGTGAGTTTGAACAACATACCATAAAGTATGTTTTCAGAAGATTCTTTTGAAATTGCCTTTTTTTTTTCAAGACAAAAAAAACTAACTTTGACTCATGTTTGAGAAGCTGTAGTGCAGACTGTGTCCTTCCTAACAAACTGTAACATACATTTCCAGAAACTTGAAGGTGTTACCTTTCAAATGAGGCCTCATTACACAAAATCAGACACAAGATGTCCACACAATAAGCATTTCCATTTGGGTATCAAAATTCGAGAAGGAACAGGCGAAAATACAGTAGGTGATCCTTCAGTAAATGTAAAAACCAGTGGGGGAGGGTCCCGGCTCAAAAGTGGCCAAAATGATGTGCGCTGACATGCTTGCAATACCACCCCGGGCCGATGGGGGTGGACCCAAAAGTAGAATTAGCCAATGCTAACATATAGCGTTGGCAGACCTCTCGAAAACGTCTTTACAGGATGGACCAAAAGTTGGCTCTTGGCCCAAAGCTCCGTTCCACATGTGTGTCAATGCTGAGGGGGGTGAATTTATTTGGGTCCACTCTAGTTTACTCGCTGTGAATTTTTTAAGTCTCTCGTTCAAATGAATGGAGTTGCGCCGGCTGACGCATGCGCAGATGCGTTTTTCCACAATTTTCTTGTGAGCGGGACTACTCGCGGCCATTTTGGATATTTCCAATAGAGCAAATTTTTTTCCCCATTAGTTAGAACGGCGGAGATAGGCGTGACTCTGTCCGTTAATATATACAGTCTATGGTAAAAACACAAGTAATGTAAGTAAAGATTGTGTAAGCAGAAGTCGTCTGAGAATAAATCTTAACTTGTTTGTAAATAACATGTGTACTTGGAGCGCACATACCCCGCCTACACCACAAATCAAGGATTAATTTGAATAGGGCCTTCCTACATCGCATTTCATTTACAGTAGTTTGCACCAATCCTGCTAACAGTCAAACACACATTCATTTTTAAAAGCAACCAAGCACGTGAGGAAGTAGGTAATCTTTATTTATATAGCGCCTTTCAAAGTCTCAAAGTGCTTTTTCAATCATTGTGGTCATTTGTCTTCTACTACACTCATGGAGCGGGGTGTCCATACAGGAGACGCATGCCAGACTTACTGTACATGTTGTAGGTGGTATTGGAAACTTGAGCACCCAGAATACACTTATGCAGGCATGGGGAGAACATGCAAACTCCACACAGAAAGGTGGTACCGAACCCTTCTTGCTGTGATGAGGCTGCTTTGATTCAGGATTTGCTGCTGGTGCTGCAGATCAGAGAGAAAAACACAGGATTTGAAAAGTATTGGCAAATAAATAAATCATAAATCAAACTTTAATATTTTCTATTATGAACTATTGACTATTAACGTCGTCGTAGCAGATGTTCGACCAGGCTTCCATTGCACTTTCTCTTCAGTTTAGTCTTCGACCAGGGAAATATTCATGCTCAAATTGGATTGAGGTCTGAAGATTTACTTTGGCTATCACATCCCATTTATTTGCTGCAAAAAACAATTTAATTTATTCTCGCAGTATGCCTCTGGATATTGCACGTCTGAAACTGGCAAACTTTCTGATTGAATTAACGTCTTGAGAAAAACTTAACAAAACCCATGTGGTCATCACTTGCTTTGCTTTTGGAACTGAGAATAAAAAGTATTGACTCCAAAAATCAAATCATCTTCTCTACAACTACATGTCGCCAATGGGTCTGGTTAGAAAGAGCCGTAGAAAACAGCAGCTCGTGGAGATGCATACAAGCCTGGACTGTATATTCAGAGTGGACTCCCGACCTTCATCTTTTGATATCTATGTACTATCAAAAGTATTGGGTTCTTCTGTTTCAGACAATACAAGTTTTTGTGATGTTATTACCTTGTTGTAAAGAAGACAAGCTGAATCTTCCTAAACTAAAAAAGATATGTATATACCTTGTTTTTGTTATTTTTGTTCCTTGTATTGTATTATGTTCTGTAGCATTTTGAGATGTTGTGCAAATATAAGGTACAATATAAACAAAATCTATTATTAATATTATCATTATATTATTATTACTGGTGCTGACGTCACCATGGTGAATACGGAAGAAGCCGATTTGAGTACCACCAATTTCATATTATGGGCATTGTTCTAAAGGGGTTAGCCTTTGTGTGCTGTTAAGACATATGGAAATATGGAATTTCCACCACAAATGAAGGCATCTCATTGGTCACTAGATTTACAAACTTTGTGATTGAAGAAACGTCTTCAGAAAACCTCATTTGTATTGCACAGTTTCTACAAAAGGCAACTCAAAGTGCCTAGTAAAACAAGAAAATAAACATTAAAATCATACGATGGAGTGACAACCCTCAGTTGTATGCACCGCTAAAAAAACTAACCTGGGTATGAACTTTGTCTGAGTAGAAGCTTGTCTCATAATATCAGGAAGACTGTTCCAGATTTTAGCGGCACAAATCTTAAATGTCTAAACCTTAACGAACCCCATGTGGCCAACACTCGCTTTGCTTCTGTAACTTAGAATTGAAATAAGCATCAACACATTTTAATCTGATTTTGAATGTTTACATCGTACCTGGAGATGGGTATTAACATTTCAAATCTAAATCTTACATACGATTGGTGGAGAAAGAGTCATTGATTGATATAGTTATCCCAAAAGCAATCAGTGGCTTAAAAAAAATGCTTTGAGCGCAGCAGAGCAAAGCGGAGCGAACAGTGAGATGGATGGTGTCTTTACTTAATGAAATTTTGAGATTTTCAGTTTGCTCGAGAGTATGATACGAGGGCTGTTGACTCTCCGCACTTTTGGCACGTTCCAGGCTTGTTTTGAGCTTGGCTTTAGTTCAAGGCTTCACTCCTCCACGTGCCCGAGTGTGAAGACAAATGTGTTTCACAGTAATCTCATCAAGAGTAATTGGAGCTTCCCTGGACCCCATAACTACAAACTTACAAACATATTGCACACTCTCCACTAATGGTTTCGCTTACAGAAACCTGGTGAAAGTTACAGTCTTTCAGTTGTGAGACAGGCTTCTACTCTGACAATGTTCAAATCTAGAATAAAACAGTTTTGTTAAGCTGTCCATACGACTGAAGGATTTTATCTTCACTCTTTTTAATGTACTTTGATTTTATTTTATTTAAGGTACCTTAAAAATGCCATGCCTTCCCTTTAAAAATACTAGTACAATAAATAATACAAACATTTATACATATATATATATATATATATATATATATTATATATATATATATATATATATATACTAGGCTTTAATATTTTTCCCGAAAATGAGACGTATTAAATCCCGGGAAAAGATGACGCCTTTCCCGGGAAATAGCTGTTGTTTGTAGTTGTTGTTTTTAGCCCAAGTAATGTATGATATCACTCAAATATATAATCCAACAAAAGCTGCCATCTCCACTAGTGTTTCACCGAGCGACTTGCTTTTCTAAAGTAGCCATAGCGTTTTCAGACGTTTTGTTGATGGGCTTTCTTCAGGAATTTCACTAATATGAGATTCTAAATGTCTGTAATCCACTTGTCGACCAGTGACGTGTGGTTTGGAGGCACTGACTTCAGCCCAATCAGATGAACATATATCATATAAATCAACAGAACCTACAGAGCGGCTTATTCACAATTAGTTTGGCTACAGCAGAATGTTTTCCATGGCCCGCATTGTTTGCTCAAACAAAACGCAAACGTTCGTAAAAGGCACATTTCCAATTGTCTTATGGGTCTTACCTTAGTTATTAATGAACAGCACAGACCACTTCAGTTCAGACCAGTTTCATGTTTAAGTCCAGATAATAGTTTGAGCGCAGATATGTAATCCCCCATTTGGAAATAAGCCCAAAGAGTTTTAAAGCGTAAAACAAAACGGGTTCCACCTCCATAAACTCCTGTGTTTTCACTGCAGCCGGCTCTCGGGCGCATCCAATTTCTAATATCAACCTTCTTACCCTTCTCCTCTCTTCCTTATCATTCCTATCGTCATTGGAAGCAGAACATTACCCTAAATGCATTTTATATGAACAGGTTAGCCAAACCTGTTGCTGCCCTTAGCAGATGGAAAAAAAGAAAGGAGCTTTCTGATAGAATTGGACGTAGCCAAATTCTGGGCTCACATGTGTCCCGTACCCTGAGGCTGGCCTCATTACAAGTCGTGGTTTAGCGCGATTAAGACCCATATTTGTTGTCAAAAACACAATTTATGAGCCATCCTCTCAGCTGTAGACATGTTGATTGTAAATGAAATAGGTTTGAACTTTGAACAACAATAAACGTGCTCTATAATAGGAGCGCACTGGATTTTTTTTTAAACTTTAATTTCCCGTTTTGGTCCATAGTGAGATGACCAGTGTTCATAAATGTTGACAAATGTTTTTAAACATCCCTGATCATGACTGTCCTTCGACGCTCTTGCATCAACAAGAAACTGCAAAAAAAAAAAACTGGGAAAAGAGTGTGAAACCTCAGGGCGGTCCATATTGAGAGAGGGATCTGCTACCACAGATGGATGGGCTATAGATCCGGCTTTCAGGTTGTAGATCGCAGGACTGATGAGGCTTCAAGGCGGGGAGAGGGATGCAGCCCACAATGTGCTGGTGGCCAAACTTGTTCATGTGAATCCTGAGGCTAAGAGAGACCTGTGACCTTTCTGTGCTACAGGTACATCCAGAACTCGCAGCCGTACCTCAACAATATGACGGCGGTGGGCTGCATGATGGCGCTGGCGGCTGTCTTCCCTCTGGGCATCGACGGGCTCCATGTGCACCGCAGGCAGTTCCCTGTGGTGTGCCAGGTCAGTGCCTCTACCACACTCACATGTCCATGCATTTGTGTCCAAAAGGTTAGACTACTGTAACGGCTGCTCACTGGTCTCACCATACGAGCTGTAAAACAGCTGCAGTTTATTCAAGACGCTGCAGCTCACGTAGAGGAAGTCCTCAGGTCTCTGCACTGGCTCCTGTGGCTCAGAGAATAGACTTTAAAATAGCTCTGCTAAAGTGTACACGTCTCTCCATGGCCTCGCACCAAAGTACTGTACATCTGTGACATGTTAGTCTCATTTGAACCAACTCGTACTCTGAGGAGCACAGGGACTGGCCTCCTGCTGGTGCCCAGTGTCAAGACTTGGCATGGGGAGGCAGAGTTTCAAGTGTATGCCCTAAAATTCTTCCTAATGACGTACAGGAAACCTCATCTTTTATTATATTGTTTTATACATTGAGTTCGTACAGTTTTAATTCTGACATTTGGTCTGAAATGCTGTTATTTTCATTTTATTATGTTTTAAATTGTTTGTAAATGTGTATGAAAGTTATTGAAAGTATGAAAGTACTGCATGAATTGTGGTTTATAAATAAACTTGATTGATTGATTTATGTAAATACACACACACACACACACATACAGACACACACACACACACAGAGGCAAAGCGAAGACCAGACCTGATGAAACGTATTCTTGGTTTCATATGACGTCAGGGCAGTGGCGCGAATAACAAACGTGGGACAGGACGTGACATACCCTGGCGGTGCAGTCTGCCGGGTTTATACACGGAGATATGTATCGTAGGAGAAGCGCTGTCAAAATGCCATCTTTGTGTGCGGTGTACGCTTGTAGCAACCACACAAATAGAGAGAAGGACAAGAGTTTCTTCAGTGTTCCAACTGTGGTCTCATATAAAGGAGTTAGAAAAAATGTGAAAAAATCACTGGAATGAGGCGAGCGAGGTGGATCAAGACTTTCCCAGATAAGCGCCCCCTGCAGGCCACCCGAATGAAACGCACCAATTTCTTCTGGCGTTTTTCTCTCCAAAAATGCCCAAAATCAAGACTCTTTTGATAAATATTTTTTAGTTCTCCCTTAGAATTGAGTGTCCCCGATTAAGAATGTTACAACAACCGTACACCACACAGGATGAGAGCTTTTTGACTCCAAAACAGACACGATTTACATGGTTTTCAATGGGAGCAAAACTGAGTTGTCCCACCTCTGCACATTCGACAGCTACTGGCCAGTTTATTGAAACCCAAGAATATAATGCTCACACAGACAAATGAAGGGATCAGTGATCACATCCGCACAAACACGCTACTTTCACTCAAAACGTTTTCTCTGCTCATCACAGACTGTTGAGCACTCACATTTCATTATGGAAAATATCCGTCAAATATCGGTTTTGGTTTGGTCAAGTTTAGTACAAAGTGAAAGTGAAATGATTCTTTAGTGTAATGCCATCATTTGTGATCAGAAATTAGAATTATTAACCAAAGTGGCTGACCCAAAGTTAAAATCACTCGCCAAACCTCTCACGACCCGTAAACACACTCTGGTTTTGCATCCAAAAGAAAACTTGAGCACATCATTCTTGCCGAGATTTTATTTCCTCAATAGCAGCAACATTGGGCCCGGCTATATTCTTTTGTGCCCCTGAGACGATCTGGCATTTCAGAAATAGTCTGGCAGAAGGCCAGTGTATAGAATTTGTGTGCAAATAAAAAAGTGAATCATTAAAACCATTGTGCATTATGTAAGATGGCCTTTTCACTGGTCTCTGCTGCCACATGCAAAACAGCAGCAGTTTTTTCTTTGGAGAAAAAAATGACTCTAGTGGTAAAAAGTGCCTTCTGAGTTAATGGATTCTGACTGGTTAAAGCATCTGTAAACAACATTTAAAAATACATATCACAAGACTAGGACCTCTAAGTAACACTCAGCTGTTTGTGCCAAGACGAGTTTTGCAAATCATTTCTCGGACATAATATTTGCTTTGAAATAGCTGCTGTATTGCTCATGAGTTCCTAGCATGTGGCCCTGCGTCCCGAGGAGCAGGATGTGTGTTTGAGCGGTCGTGCTGGGGCTGTCTGTGCCGATATATCACAGTACTTCACACACACACACACACACGCACACACACAGGCACAGTTACACATGTACTGAGCGCTGGGAGCAGACAGCAGACAACTCTCCTGCAGAGGTGAAGAAATCAAACACACTCCCACTGTCGGCTGCTTCGACATATGAGGAGAGAGTTCTACTAAACGAGACGGATATTTGCAATTCATCCTAAATGCACACTGCATAAATTGTTTGACGTCATTTGGATATTGTATGTTTCAAATCCCATCCAATAATCCACCTAGACCTAGGACTTAAAGGCTGGAACCTAGAGGATAAGACCGAGTTGTCATCATCTGGATTCCATGCATTTCAAAGTACACTTGCAACACCAGCACGAGAAGAAAACCTGTCCACAACAAACATACTGTAGCGCTCCCATTGAGGGAGACAGCGCATGAGCTCCAAGGCTGGAGATGTAAGCAATGGGCCGGGTCTCAGATAGCTACTACACAGTGCCTCAGACGCTCTGCTAATGTACTGCACCGTTGATATGACTCCACAAGCTCCATGGAACGACGGACGGATATGCAGACATGAAGCTGCCTGTTTCTGTATGCATCTGGTACAAGGTGTATGAATGTGCCTCAAACTATTGAATATAAGTCAGTAATAACACATTTTGACTCCCTCCATCCATTTGCTCTCCATTCTTTTATCTGCATTCAGGATCTCTCTAGTCCCAGGTCAAAGCCGGTCTCAGGTCAGAGCTCAGGAGCACGGGCAGGAGTAAAAATAGCCTACTTCCTGTATCTCTTCACCTGGACTGACCGCTGTATTGACTGACTGCCATTCTGTGGAAGACCAATCTCACGCTCCAGCCTCCCCACACTAATGAACAAGAGCCACATAGACCAAAGATATGACCCCAACTGTCATTTCACAGGACATTCTCAATATATTTTTATCTAGTTTCTCTATATATTCATCAAACTCATTGTTGGGCTTGTGAAAAAATATAAAAACAAACATTTATCAAACTAAATCTATTATTTTTCTTCACTGCGGAGCACCTGACTCTCATTGGTCACAAGCCCTCAAAATAATCTTTTATCTTTCAAGACTTAAGTAGCAACGTAAACTCATTGGGCCTCATGTATGAAAATTGCGCAGAAAAAGGTGTACATTTTGGGTGTAGATCCCAGATACGCAAGATCTGACGTGGCATTTATGAACGTGTGAGATACGCACAGATCTGAGCGTACGCACCTGCGGCTGTTGATAAATGCCGCGCTCAAAACCAGCGTATTTATGAAAGTCACGCCTAGAAATATTCAGAAACTGCCTGTTCCACGCCCTGTTTTTGCGACAGGTCAGCAGGAAGTCGGCAAAGAAGCCGCAAAAAGCACGCACTTTTGAGTTTATTCACGTTTAAAAAAAAATATATGTATGCTATATTATATATACACTTTTTTCCCTTGTGTCTAGACCCACTGCAGCACTCATCTCTCCTGAAATTTCGACGTAAATAAATAAATAATAAATGACCTGAATGAATGAACTATACTGCCGGTGTGCATCGCATCCTATCTCTGCTCTGCGGAGTAAAGGGCAGTGGCTGAGACAGTTTTGAGCAAGATCAGGTGCATTTATGAGGCTTTATGCACAAAACTAAGGAAAACCCACATTGCTTTGCCAGAGGGGAATGAGGCAAAACATATGCATAATTACGTGTACGGCGCAGGGTCTGCCACAGGTTGTTCATGCATATGTAAAAATAAATATACGCTATATATTCAGCTGCGTTTTGAATAAATTTGCAGAAATGTTTTGATTAATTATAAAAATCTCTCTTGGATTGTAGAAGTGAATAAACAAAGAATGAATGAATGAATGAATTCTTGTGCAGCGGTGGCTCTCATCAATGAAGCGTCTGCAGCGTCTTGTGAATGCACTGAAGCGCTGTACACTTGCGAGAGCGTTTGCGGTCCAGATTTTACAGAGAAACTCTGGAGCTAAAACTTCTGAATGACAGCATTTGAGGAGTTATGTGGCACGTCTCTCACGGCACCTGCTGTGGATGCACTCCCAAGAGTGCGCTGCGGGTGGACAGGGCAGTGAGACATTTGGAGTGAGCAATACCATAGTCCATCGGTCCATGCGTTAATGGGGTGTGTGTCTGTGTGAGCCTTACACATATCTAATGAAGACATACATTGCTTTACCAAATGTGAGGAATACAAATAGCCGTGCGTAATTACGCAGCGCAGAGCCTGCCACAGCAATAGCTGGGTCACACATCCCTGTCGCGTAAAGTGTATTTGTATAGAGCCTTTCACTGTCCAGGATCACAAAGCGCTTCACATTTTAAAAACATACAGATCAAAATACTACACACAGAAGTCAGATTTAAAATCATTGAAACAGAACAGGCTCCTCATCATGAGCTGTGATTTATTCGAAGTTTGCGTGTTTCCAGAGTGTTAGACTTTTTCTGATGCGCAAATTCAAATTCCGAAAGATGATGCTCCATGAAAACGCAGCTTATAATGTTGCCAGAGTGGGACTATGTTTATTGTTGTCCAAATCTTGAATTTCATGCGTGCTTTGGCGTGTTGTGATGAAGGGTGAAATGAGCGTACACATTTACACCACCTATTGACTTGGTGTAAATTCTGTGCGTACCGTACGCTCACGTCCAGATTGATAAATGCGGAAAAGTGTAAATTTTTTGCGTACGCATCATTTACACCCTGATTTGGCCGTACGCAAGTTTCATACATGAGGCCCATTGTGTTTATTTCAGGAATATTTGATCAGTTTCTGCGTTTTCTGGATCTCTTTCTAGTATCATGAGCCACAGATGGCACATAATGGGCTAATTCATGTGGTGCAATGAATAGGACTAGAATTAAACCGCAACTTGGGTGTCATGTAAACTCTCCTTGCTTAAAC